GGCCCTTAGCCCTCTTCGGCCATTTTGTACTGTATTGACTTATGCAAAGCAACAGGCTCAGCATTAATATTAGAAAATCAAAGTATCAGTCATCTCTGAAAAATCCCCTTGCAATATTAAATATTCAGGCAAGATTGAATCTTTCATGTAAAAGTAAACAAGTGCATCCGTTTCCCTGATATGCAAATTTGCTTGTATTTTTAATGCAAATTTGCTTTTATTTTTAATACATCGTAAAATTACACACGTGCTGACAAATTGTTCTAAACTAAATTTACTGTGCATGTGTGCGTGGTTTATGTGTATGTGAGGTGTGTGTGCGTGTGTGTGGTATATGTGTATATGAGGTATGTGTGTATGTGGTATATGTGTAATGTGTATGTGAGGTGTGTGTATGTGTGTGGTATATGTGTATGTGAGGTGTGTGTGTATGTGTGTGTGGTATATGTGTATGTGAGGTGTGTGTGGTATATGTGTATGTGAGGTGTGTGTGTGTGTGGTACATGTGTATGTGAGGTTTGTGTGTGTGGTACATATGCAATGTGTATGTGAGGTGTGTGTGGTATATGTGTATGTGAGGTGTGCGTGTGTGTGGTATATGTGTATGTGGGGGTGTGTAGTGTGCCTATGGGGAAGTTGTACACATGCCACACAACTCACATAGAGGTCAGAGAATGACTTTCAGGAGTCAGTTTTCTCCTTCCACCATGTGGGTGGCAGGGATCTAACTCAGGTCATTGGTTTGGGCAGTGAGCATCTTTACCTGATGAACCATCTTGTGATTTATTTTCAGTAAATATTTATGGGCCTTATATACCTACTTTATATACCATATACCTGGGATCACTGTAGTAAACGGTGAACATAAACAATAGAATGAATATATTTTAAAAGTGATGTATTGGATTGGTTTAACGCTATCGTCTGGGTAGCCCAAAAATGATTGCCTCATGATAGAAAGCCTAAGAACCCAATAGTGATTCAGTCTACAGGCTGGTAGCCTCAGCAGTCCCAACCTGATGCTGAAGGCCTGGAAGATTCTTTGAGAGAGGCTGATCTTCGTTCCACATTGGAAACCCCCAAAAAGGTTGTTGTGGTACCTTATCAGAAACACCAACAAGGGTAGAAGAACTCGCCAGGGAAAGTGAAAGACTAAGCCAGGAAAAAAAAAAAGGAAAAAAAAAAAAGAAAGAAGAGACCAGGCACATAAGAAGTTCCCTATTTGTGTGTATTAATTAGTAAGTGTTGGTTCTTCACTCAAAGATATTTTGAAAGGCTCATAATGGAATGGAGGCCTTATAGAGATGGCTCCGTCTTTGGGCACACAAATTGCTGTTGGAGAGAACCTGAGTTCAATCCCCACCACCCACCTCAAGGGGCTAACAAATGCCTGTAACTCTAGCTCCAGGGCATTAGACGCCCTCTTCCCGTTCTGAAGTCATCTTTACCAGCATGCGCGTGCCCAGCATTCAGACACAAAAGCATGTGTACGTGCATACACACACACACACACACACACACACACACGTGTGCATGCATAATTAAAAATAAAATAAAATGATTTTTTTAATTTAATGGAATAGGCAGCTGCAAGGTGCATGAGAATCCTATCCCCAGAATTAGGGTACTGGCTGAGTACCCACAGGAAGTTGCATGGTATTGGTTGAACCCGAGCCGTTTTCCATGTTAGCATCTGTATATCCATGACTCTTCCTCTACTGTGGTTATATTTTCTCTGCTTCCCCTACTCATCTATCCTAGATCAGAGCATCTCAGATTCTCTTGATATTGGACTTTTTTTTTCTTTAGCTTGAAGGTATTAAAAAAAAAAAAACAACTGTCTTTCAAATGCCAAAACTGACAACTCACAAAAGGCAGAAATAAAAATATGAGAAACGTTAACCTTGCAGGAAATCAAATATTTGATGACATAAAGGATGTCCCTGGCTTGTGTGTACACAAGTGTTTAAAGCGCTCAGAGTTTTGTGAAATAAAATGTTTCCACTAGCTGCCATCTACACAAAGCAGAGCTTGCAGAACAGAGGAAGGAGAGAAGGCAGTCTGAAGCTAATTCCGTCTGGATAGGAGTTAACAGGTGTTTAATTATAACATTCCTCTTTCTGCTTTCTTCTTGCTCTACTTCTCTTACGCTGCAGAAAAGTCTAAGTAAATAAACAACTTTTTACCCTAATGTAAAAGTCGACAGTCATTGGCTAATCAAATGGAAATCAATGGCAGCTCTGAATTTATCCCCACATCTAACCCTACTTCCCTTAGCATCAGACTGGGGCTGTTTGTCCTTTAGTTCTGCCTCTGTATCCCCTTCTGCAGGAACCATTAATGACTCTCCTTTTCCAACTTCACTCTTGCAGCCTGCAAATGTTAGAGGCCCTCCCTTGATTAGGTTCTTTCTCCAGGTACCAAATCTTCATTCTCTGCTCCATTTCTCCTCCCCTCCCCTCCTCTCCCCTCTTCTCTCCTCCCCTCTGCTCTCCTCTCCTCTCCTCTTCCACCTTTCTTGGTAACTCTGCTTATCCTGGTTCCTGGTCTCAGGTGCCCAGTGGCCCCACACACCCCACAGGAATCCAGATGCCCTCCAAGAGCTCCTGAAATACGCCCCCCCCCAAGCAGTCTATTGAAATAATCAGTTTACCTCAGTTGCCTTGATGATGGGGCTGCTGAGCTTGGCCCACAGTAAAGAAAATACAAACATTTTAGGAATGACTGGGTGAGGGAGCCAACTCTAGACACAATGTATCTGAAATGACCCTGGAGTGGATGCACACCATTATAACCTCAAGATCTACGTTTTATTGTTGGATTCCATTTGTTTCAGATTAATAAAGCCAGCAACCGTTGATTTCTGTGCCCCTGAAGACTACCTAGACGTGCAATAACATGTAAGCACCAACTTAAAAAACAAAGGAGAAAAACTAGCCATGTTATTAGTGCCGGCCAACAAGTAATACAATGGCGACTATCTGCTTTCCCCCAGGGTGTTTGGTCTAATCTCTCTGTGATCTACAGAACGTCTCTTACTTAACCTTTTTCTTTCCAAGTCTGAATTCCAGTGATAACATCCACAGGCAACAGACTGCCATGGAGACCCACGGGCTCATCAGCTGCCTCCCAGCTGACACGGAGCAGGCTGCCAGAGAAATAACATAAAGCTGAATTATCCATGATCGCAAGGCTTGGCAATTTGCTGTTAGTTTAGGGACTTTTTTGAAAACTGAAACACTTTACATTTTGTCTTATTTTTTTAAGCTTTTCTTCCTTGGGGGATAGAACTATAAAATCCTGACTTATATTTTACTGTTCTGTCTTTATAATCGTCCTAGTAACTTCACAATCTAGTTTGGTATTTCTTTATGCTTCTATGTGGATGTGGATGTGTGTGAAGACGTGGGCTCAACATTGAGGGGTTCCACCTTTTTTTTTTTCCAGACAGAGTCTTTCAGTGAACCTGGGGCTCACTGATTTGGCTAAAGTGCATTCCAGCAAGGTCCGGGGAATCCTCCTGTCTCCACAACTACAAATGCTGCTGGGATTGGCTGTGCCCAGCTTTTATGTGAATGGAAGTCCTGATACTCATGAAGCCACACTTTCCCAAGCCATCTCCACAGGATCCCCTGATCCCAGACAGATCCTCAGTTCTACCATTTACAAAACCCTATCAGCCAAGGGTTTCTGAGATACTGAGTCAGGGCAGATGGATAACCCACCAGGTGGTACACCACCTTGGCAGGGCAAATCCCAGAAAATACTGAGAGGAAACCAGCTGTAGGGATTCACATGTATACTTCAAGAGGGAATGAATCTGGGAATACAGTTCCTTATTAATAAAGCGTGTCCATTTTTGTTTTGCTTTCCTTTGCTTTGTTTTACTGCAGAATCAATGACATGGGAAGAGGAAGGAGAGGGAAATGTTAAGATTTGGCAAACACTTTGATCTAAGGAGCCTCCACTGGGTATGTGTTTCATTGCTGGACCATTAGCCACAGATTTAGCTTTTCTTTTGAGCTACTGATTAGCAAGGGAAATGGCAATTTACAGATTTCGTTAATCATTGTCCCTTTGGTGAGTACATTTTTTTCAATCGGTTTTAAACTTAGTCAAGTAGTGCAGCTAAAAAGGATACTGAGCCAGTTCAGATGGGAAGGGAGGGAGCTCAGACACTGTGACTTCATTGTTTACCTAATTGAGACCCTCCTAATATTCTAGGAAAAGTAACTCCTTGTGGAAGAGTCTGTCGGAAAAAAACAGTCCACAAGGCTTGACAATTAAGAAAATGCAAAAAAAGAAAACGCAAGACTCGAGAAATGTTTCCCTACCGACATGCCATCCCAAGCAGACAAACTTACCATGTAAAATAATCAATAAAGAGGCTATCACAAACAGCAGTAAGTGAAGGGGACATTGTGGTTGTTACACGGACCATCTCCAGCCTCCTAGAGTTTATGACCATCAAACTGTACTAAATCAGAGAAGGCACTGACCAAGTCTGGCTGGCTAGCCCTGTTTCTCATTGTTTGGTTAGACTGCAAATGTCTTTGAAATGAGTTTTATTGGAAAGATTTTTAACCAGCAACTCTCTCTTGGCCACCTGAGCAGCAGAGGTTTTGTGGGGTTTTCTCCGGTTGTTATGTTGTTGTTTCGTTTTATTTTGAGGGAGGGAGTGGGGAGTAAAAGAAAGAGTGTGTTTGTGTGATGCATGTGTTTTTCCTTAAATTAAAACTGAGATAGTGCTATGACCCGTTCTCTCTGTCACTCTCCCCGCTCCTTTCTTCTTTCCCTCCCTCCTCCTCCATTGCTTGTGACTCTTCTGCTATTGGGAGGTCTGGAGGCATTTAGAAAGGCACATTGAGGTGAAGGGGAAATGTTTAAAGGCGGTACTGTTTATTTGTTCTTAAACCGTGTCCACCGCGTGGTATTTTCAGACAAACAAGTACTTGTTTTTGCACCCTGAACAAAATGAAGAGACGAAAAGATATGCATTTGTGTGCACAGAGCTGGGTGATAAAGACAGAAGGGTGGGGCTAGCAAAATATTCCAAGATGGCAATGTTATTTGTGTTCCTCCTCGGCCAAAAGGTGAAGGGTTCTCCTGAGGGGAGAGTTGTTTTCCCCAGCACCGAGTGGGACAAAGGATAAGGAAGGCAGATTTCTGTTTGTAGTGACTGTCGGTTTCGGCGAGAAATTATCCACTCCAGTAAGTTTTGTTATTTTGGCAATTTCATTCTCAGAACTGACTGTGCCCTTTACTTTCAGGCAGGGGTGTGGGGGTAGGGGGTGGGGGGTGGGGGTGGGAGCCAGTCTTGTTCTAGTGATCCCTGGGAGAGCTTCTGAGGGACAGCTGTGGGCAGCGATTAGAAAGGTCCTGGGAGAGAGGAGCCTTGTCGCTTCTGAATTTCTCAAGCTGCTCTTCTTTCTCCTCATGTTTATGCTTCAGAATTTCACACTGTGGTCAAACAACACGAGGTGTAATTTAGCCTGCCCCTTGTAAACGCCGGGCGACCGTCCTTAGGTGCATGCGCGCAGAGACACAAAGTTTAAATGGCTACACAAATTAAGACAGTACCTTTAGAGCAAACTGCACATCTTAAATAATAATCAAAAAAGCTGACAGTCAGCTATGGTCAGTGTTGGTTTTTGTTTTTTGTTTTTTTTTTTCTATCTTGTTAGGGGCAAAAACCTGTAAATCCAGTTTCTGAACTGTAATTTAGGGTTACAGGGAAGAAGAACGTTGTAAACAAGACAAAGTTAAAATATGCATTTCAGATTAAGCATTTTACTGCGACAGAGAGAAGAAAGCTTTACGTTTACTGAAAAGGAATGTTCCAGCAATTACCACAAGATTCCACAGCTGCTAAATGAGAGAAACTATTTTTCTTTCTTGGAATGTAACTCATCAAGTCTCACAATTGCCTCATAACTAATCAGGCCTCTTATGAAAATGTTAGTAGCCAAAAGAGCCACTTGGACTGTCTTCATGCCCCTGCCATGCTATTCACAGGCATTCCTATGGCCTGTAATAACCTCTTTTTTAAACTTGAAAATGTGTTCACTCGAAATGTGCTTTAACAACAACGATAAAACATGCTCTAAAATTCTCACGCGGGATTTCAATAGAGCATCAATTTCCTTAAGCATTTCTTTACAACATGCAATGAAAATATACTCGGGGAGAAGGAGGGGCTGCATTGATTGATGTTGGGAAATACTACATCCAGGTTTGTGTAAGCCTCTTCTCATGCTGCCATTGTAAGCCTATATATGTGGCTTCTAGACACCCATGATAAACAATCATACCCGAATACAACGTTGTTCATACATACATATGAACAGTATGTAAATATGTAAAGTATTTGGCCAAGACTTTATGCTGGGTTTAGCAAACACAATTAAGGGCCAGATTGATCTTAATATGTATATAGTTCAATGAGAACTTACATAACTTTCATTGCTGCTAGATTCCAGGTCCTCCTATCGGACAGCAATTAAAACCACACAACAGTAGCTCTTGAGATTTTAGTAACATACAAAAGCTAGCATTTCCTTCATACTGGGGTATCTGTGGATAAGTCATGGCTTATGGAGTTGAGGCTTCTTTGGTCTTGAGCCCAAACTTGGAACTGAGTCAAATTCGGTGATTTCTCCATGAATCAGCAGCTGTCAGAATCGAGAGAGTTTCATAGTTAAAGGAATGACAGTTAAAGTGGAAGCTCATCTCAAGCTCACACTCCCGTGACATCCAACACTTCACTGGCCAAAATCAGTCACATGCCAAACCCAGCACAAATGGAACATGGAAATGTCACTCATCCGAAATAATAATATTGGGGGACTGGAGAGATGGCTCTGTGGTTAGGAGCACTTACAGAGAACCTAGGCTCAATTCCCGGCACCCACAATGTGGCTCACAAATATCCCCAACTCCAGTTCTAGAGGATTTAATGCCCTCTTCTGAATTCTAAGGGCACCAGGTTTGCACGTGCTTCACAGACATGCATGCAGGCAAAACACTGGGGATCATAAAATCAAATAAATCTTAAAGAATGTGCAAAAGTTTTTAGGAAATAACAATGCTGAAGAAGAGAGTGAATATGAATTGGACAAAATCCAACCCCTTTTCCTCTCTGTGGCATTCTTTCTCCAGGAAATCTCATCAAACCCAAAGATTTGCTTCTTCTCTGCGTATACATAATTCATAACTTACATTTCCAGCTCAAAACTCTCTTTTTAGTTTCAAGTTTCATAACCAAGGAATTATTTGCTACTTATGCTCGGCTATTTCAAAGGCACTTTAAACTTATTATGTATCAAACAGAACACATGATCACCCAGCTACCACCCATGGACGGAAAGTGATGTTCTGATTGTATTCTATAAGCCACTGAATGATCCATCACTCATACGTACATACCAGAAATCAGGGGATTTCTAATATTCTTCCTTTAGTTTCAATATCCAACTGATCTCCAGACTATTTCCCCTTCTAAGTTTGCCTTGGACCTTCCATTCTCCACCCTCACCAGACTCCTCCTTCCCATTTCCAGCATCCCACACCGCATCGCTACAGTGTCTCTTAAGTACCACACCCATTTTCATAGCAACCTCATTGACTTTTCCCTGGTACCTACAGTCGTCATCGTGCAGTTGACAATGACGAAACTATTGAAAAAATGAAATGGATGGGCACAAGGTGCACACAAGCCCTAGAGAACAGGAGAGATGGCGCCCTCAACGAGGAACAGGAACCTGTGCAAATAGTGTAAAAACCAATTGTCAAATTCGTCTATATTGCCACAGCCCCTCTGCCTGTGCCCTGTTGTTCAGAAGGGGTCTTCCTGGCTTTGCAGACAGAGCTGTCCCCATGCTCCTGCCGTCAGCCATGGTCTTTTCTGCCATATTCTCCCACAATATGGCTGATGGCAAGCCCTCCTTCAAGATGCACACAGAGTTCCAGAGACAACAGAGAACTTTTGTGCCCTGAGCACCAAAGAGAAAGGACTTGCTTGTAATGGCTCCTCCCTTCGCAGGCTTGTTCTGGGATTCGCGTGTCCGGGTGGTGACCTCCCATTGCCACAGTGGCACTAAGGGCAAGTCCATCATACAGGGAGAAATTTAAAGATGAGAATGTCATCATCCTGAAGCATACAGTACTGATATCTTGGCCTTGGCAAATATTGGACCAAATACAGATGTTTCCCCAGGTTTTATCTCACTGCCAAGACTGAGTGGATGCCAAACGTGCAGTCTTTGGGAAAATAGAAGATAGCATGAACACCATGGACATCATGGAGAGCACCCAGCTCAGAAACAGCAAGACCAGCAAGAAGATCACCACTCCAGATATGAACAGTTCTGATACCTCTGAGTTGCGTTCTTCTTAACTTCTCGTCCAGACCATACCTTCTAACCCAAGAAGATCTTCCTTCCCTGAACACTCACAATATCCCATAATCGATGTCCTCTCCCTGAAGTTTTCTTGGTACATGTTCTCCTCATTCTCCAAGACTAGCTGAGTTGCAGGGCTAAATTTATGATTATGAAGAAAACAACAAGGAAGAGGCCTCCCTATCTCTCCCTGCCTCACCATAAAAGTTTCCAAAACCTTGACCTCATTAATGACTAGCAGCAAAGCATCAAATAGGAAGTCACACCAATGTCCTTATGATCAGCAGCAAGTCCCACAGTGCTCAGTGGAAATGAAGTAAGTCGAGGCAGAGGCAATGAGCAAGCAATGGGCAAACTCTGAGAAGAAGGAAACTCCAAGTAAAAGGTGTGGAACTGTGGGATCAGCTAAGGGAAGGGACTGGGAGGTGAAGGCAAGGAAAAAGAGAGCAGGGCTGCTTTGGACCACGTTCCAGAAGCTCCTAATCTAAGGTTTTGATTGAGGAAAAAGGAAATGGATTCAACTTCCAGTGAGACGAAGTCATGGGTATCCGTGGCAAAGGTGGATATCGTCTAGCAACGCTTCTCTGAGAATCATGACCTAAGGAAAAAGAACCAATGTCTGTCATTGAGAAAAGAGGCCTGAGAAAATAAGATGATGAGCCCACGAATAGCAAATGCCAGAAGAGCCGAGGCACTCTTCAGGCTTCCAGAAAACTGGAGGAGAAAGAGAAATTATGAGTGAAGAAGAAAGGGCTATTCCACAGAGATTCTAGGCCTCACGGGCTTCTCCACGGACTTCTTACTGCTTCCACAAAGTACAGGGAGGCTCTTCCCCTCATCAAGCACGGGAAACTGGCAATCCTGTCCAGTTGACTACGGGCAACTATCCATAGTCAAACACTCCATACCCATGGTGGACTAATGTTTGGAACTGAATCAGAGAATACAGAGATGCTCATCATCTTACAGTAAGCTGCGTCTTGAGAAACACATCATAAATTGAAATCATAAGTCCAAAATACATTCAAATCACCAAACTCATCAAACACCATCCTTCGCTATTTCCCATGGAGTAGACTATCTGTGGCTTCCTGTAGTGATTGTGTGGCTAGCTGAGAGGTGTTACTTAGTGCCGCTGCCCAGCATCACGAAAAGGGCATACCCAATCCTGTTAGCTCAAGAAGAGATCAAAATGCAAAACGTGGAGTATGAGTTCTACCGAGTGCATATGACATTTGCACTGTTATAAGACTAAGAACTAGTAAGTGAAACCATCACAAGTAGGGCTTGTCTCTACACTTAATAAACAAACCCAGTTAATCCATTATTTTCAACTTGAAAGGAATAATTAAGTCAAATCAGTAAATAATGATCAATGACTTCTGAACAAAGTAGCCAAGGCGAACATTGATGGAAACATGTCATTAGGAACACACATGGCTCATAAATAGTTGCTTATACTTCTGAGGAAATAATTACCCTCTCTTGGCAGTTCCGGGTTCAGCATCAAGCCACCAAGTGTTTCCTGAGAACTTAAAGTCAAACTGGTTGTGACCAATATCCAACTACATTCAATGAAAATTTTAACATAAGTGGCAGATTTAAAGACTTGATTTGCTTTTTTTTTCTTTTTTTTGGATTATGCGTGTTAAAGGCATTCAACCTTTTGGTTTAGTAAACTCTAAAGCCCCTTAATGGCTTTAGTACCATTAATAGAAATACCAGTGGCATCTCGGTGACTGAATAACTTAGAAAATAGATTGAGAGTTTTTGACTTGCAGTTAGTGATGGGGAAAGGTCAGCAGACTATTCCCCCAAATTAATTGCTATTTGATGGATTGTGTGATGAAAGCTTTTTAAAATTATGAGAATTTTCTTTCTTTCTTTCCTTCTTTCTTCCTTGTTTTTGTGGTTTGTTTGTTATTGAATTTTCTAGACAAGTTACTCTGTGTAATAGTCCTAGATGTTCTGGAACTCACTTTGTAGATCAGGCTGGCCTTGAACTCACAGAGATCTGCCTGTGCACTTAGTGACAACTTATTCTGTTATATGGACAGATGCAACCACTTCAAACTAGTGCATCAAGGGAACATGGATCTATCTGACATATGTTTAACCTTATCATCACCTAGTCCTATAGTTCTAGAATGTGCATGACTGGACCCAAACTCCTGGATCTAATGGATAAGATACCTAGCTACATCTTCTTGACACATTCTGTTGGAGCTCTAAGAGCCTCAGAAGATCTGCTGTGAAACCATCAGATTTCTCTTTAAAAAGCCATGAGAAAATGTTGGGTGCAGTCTTATTTACTTAACTCCGGGAAAACAGAAAGCAGCTCTGGGTTGTCACCATTTCTCCTAACTTTACTTTACACCCAGACAGAAAAGAACATTAAGAAGTAAAAGGTCTTATTCCACTTACAACTTCAAGGTACACTCCGTTCTTGTAGGGCATTCAAGTCAGGAACTTAAAGCATCGCATCCACAGACAAGAGCAGAGAGAAAATAAAGTGCGGATCTTTGCTTGCTTGCTCCTGCTTACCTGGCTTCCTTCACTCTTGGGTGGTTCTGGGCCCCACCCATGAAATAGTGCCACCCACATTGGGTTGGGCTTCCCCAATTAACAATCAATTAGCAATCAAAACAATTCCCTGTAGACATGCCCACAGGCCTACCTTACTTAGATAATTCCTCTTGGGGGAAGATTCTCTTCCCAGGAATTAGGTGGCTCAGAGGTTACAAGTGCTTACCACTCTAGCAGAAGACCAGAATTTTGATCCTCAGTGCCCAGTTCAGGAAATTCATAATGACCTCTATCTCAAGCTCCCTGGGAGCCAATGCCTCTGGCCTCTGCCCACACTGGCACGTGGGTGTACACACCCACACAAAGACACATGCACATAATAAAAAAATTAAATAAAGATTAAAAAAAAACCTCTCTTCCTAGGTTACTATGGGTTGTGTCAAGTTAAAGGTAACCAGCACAACCTTCATATAACTAATGGCACCAGAAATATCAAAACCTAACTTACAGAATAAAACCACTTCCTGTAATGTGTACCTGAGGTGATTCCTTGAAGACTTGAAGACGTCAACTCTGATCTTGAAGCATGCATCCTGTGGAACAATCTTTGTCCAGTGTAGATATGCATCGTTCCCATTGTTCATAAAAAGCTGACTGGCTTTTTTTTTTATGATGGCTAGGCAGGATTTTCAGGGCAGAGAGAGGGCTGAGAAGAAGGCGGGTGGAGTCAGAGAGAAACAGGACATGTAGGAGAGGTAAAAGCCATGAGCCTCTGCGAAGCACATAGATTAATAGAAATGGTTTCACTTAGGGTGTAAGAACTAATTAGTAATAAGCCTGCGCTATAGGCCAAGCGTTAATAATTAATAATATGTCTCTGTGTGATTATTTGGGAAGTGGCTGTCTGAACGGAGCTGACTGAGGTCCTGAGGGAAAACTCTGCCTACACACGTAAACACCTCATGGATGTCTTTAGCTAGTTTCTCAGTGAGTCATGGTCAACTACAGTGAATCCATACAGCCATGGGGAGCAGTTTGAAATATGTCAAATATAAGGTGTGACAAAGCATAAATTTTCAAAATCTTCTGAAAAGAAATGCTGTGGGAGGACCTTCCACTCCTTCAGACAATAGTCGCTGAAATACCAGCCCACTGGGGTGTGGTCTATTTATCTTTAAAGCCTCAGCCTGCTCTCCTGGTCGCCAGAGCAGGAGCAGGAACCAAGCACTGGAACCAAGACAGCTGGCTGAAGCTTGCCGCTGTTTTTTAAAGATAAATAGACCACGCCCCGTAGGCTGGTATTTCAGCAGCTATTGGCTGAAGGAGTGGAAGGCGCTCCCGCAACACAATAGGCTCGTACTTCAGCGACTATTGGCTGAAGGAGCAGAAGGTCCCACCCCCACCCCCCACCCCACCCCACCCCCAGCAAGAAATGCCACCTGACATAGGTAATCCCTGTTTTAGGATGGCTATTCCCATCATGAAATGATGGCAGAGCACCTTAATTGTATAGCCCTGTGGTGGACAATTCCTTAAGCTAGCACCACTAACCATACACATCTCAAGAGAAAAAGTAAACTGAACACAGACAGTAAATCTTCCACGAAATTTAAGAGGCTTCTGGAAAGAAAAACTGTCTTCTGGTGAGCTCCTCGTAGGATCCTGGACCTAATCCTCTTGCGTTCAATCTCTTGCACGTTCTCTCTGCCCTGCCATTTCAGTGGCTGTTTCTCTTGACTGCGACAGCTTATTCAAGTGGATTGCCTCTTTTAGGACCGTTTCGTCTCCTGTCTAGGACACTGGACTTGTGACTATAGCGGCGGTTTTTGTTTTGTTTTGTTTTGTTTTGCTTTGCTTTGTTTTGTTTTGTTTTTTTGTTTTTAATCTTTTCTGTTTTCACAATCCAGGATGATGCCTAGAACGCCGTAAGAATTCAGTAGTCCTTGCTGAATGCCTCAATGAAAAAGTTGGAGGAACGGATAGACAGACAAACAGATGCCATGTAGAATAAATACAGAGAGGATGCCACCTACCCCACAGGTGCCGCTTTCTTTAATTGGACTTTCCAAGTCCCGACATTGTTTTCAGAACAAAGGTTATGTTTTGACAAAACTAAGTTAGTGTCTTCCGAAGAATAATTTTGGAGTCTAAATGACTATTCTTGAGAGTCTCCCTCTAAACAGGCCTGCATTTTGCTTAGACCAAGGCGTCGTGACTGACAAGTGGAGGTTTGTTTTTTGTTTTTGTTTTTGCTTTTCTTCTTCTTTGTGTGAAAGTCTTGGCAGAAATGTATGACTGCCACAGCTATGCAATTTTTTTCCGGATTCCTGCTGCTTTACAGCCCCTGAGAGAAAGACCTTGCTTCCAGGAGTTGTCTTAGTAGATTGCCCAGAAGCCTCAATATCAGAAAAGACGAGAACATCTGAACCCTGCTACAGCTGTTTTAAAGAAAATAACTTCTTAAAACGCTCTTTTAGAACTGAACCTGAGCTCAGCACCGTAGGAAGGCTGGTGCACTATGGAAGGAGAGCGCACCGTGGGAAGAACAGCGCACCGTGGGAAAGATGGCGCACCATGGGAAGGACGGCACACAGTGGGAAGGATGGTGCCCTGGACAGAGTCCGAGGTGGGTGTGTTTCTGTGAAGAAGGGGTGTAATTCACAAGGACTTTTACTAAACTCAACACAGATTCAGAAACCATATGACTGTGCAAATTTGCTTAAGAATTGAATCATTTGTTGCGATTTAGTATTCCAGACTTTCTGAGAATAGTATTTCCAAGAAGACCCAAGAGAATTCCAAAGTGTGAATAATTTTAGATTTGTCGACCTTCTTGTAAGTGAAAAAATTCAGATGATAAAAGACCAATGAAAACATTTGAATTTTATGTTGTTTTTTTTTTATACAGATTGATTGGTTGGTGGCAAATTGTGACTTTATTTTGTTCCGTCAACTCCCACTCTAAAGCGGGTGGAAGAAATAAACAGAAGAGAGCTGCACTGAGTCTGGCTTCGGTTTCTATTTCCTGAGCTGCCTTCTTAAAGGTTGTAAGCAGAAGCTTAGAAAATGCCAGGGAATTGTTGTTGTTGTTGTTGTTGTTTTAATCTTTTCTTTCTTTTTTTCAAAAAGCAGAATTTGGCCAGAAAGTCGGCTATTTGCATACAGTGGGATCTTGACAGACGCTGTACTTTATCTCGGCTGCGTTGTAAAAATGTGAACACGGATATTAGAATCCACAGCAAATCAGCGGCTGCTGAAGACAGCCTTGAAAATGTAGTCATTCCTAACTGAATTATCATTGTGGATGACGTTCTCTATTCTGGACCTTGAAAAACTTCAGGGAAAAAAAATCGGTAATACAAACCACATGGTTGCCTCCTTCTACCGCCATTCTTGGCAGAGCGAGTGCTGCCTGGCAACGCTGCCGTCAGCTGGGCTGAGTAATCAGGGCAGTATTGCCCCATAGTTAAATCTAATGCTTTCTTTCTGAGAACTCACCAGTGCATGCTTTTTCTTCTTATCAGTCTTCTTGGTAATGTTTGAACAGGGCTTCTGTGCATGAGGAGAACACGTCCCTGTAGAAGGAGTTGCTGAAATAGTAAAAAAGAAAAGAAAAAAAATCATAAAGCCTTCTAATGACTCTACAAAGGAAAGCGAAGGGGGATGGAAGCTTGCAAGGAGTGCTTGCCTGTTGCTTTGGACTTTGGTCCCACAGAGGCCCGTGGCCCAGCCACACTGCTGGCCAAACTCCACTTTCTTCCCTGGGCCTTTTAGAAACACCTCCCTCCCTATGGAAACTTGAAAGGCAAGCTTTCAATATATGAAAGTTTGAGACCAGAATCTAAAAACTTGTGAGGGAAAAAAAATCTTTTTGTATGTAGCCCTAACCAAAATAAAATAAAATAAATAAAAGCAGTATTTCAATTCCAGAACACTTAAAAGGACCTGTGCATTTGGATCAAAACCTAGATGACGACATCTAATCCAGCAGACTGGGCTAGAGTTAAGATGATACAAATATGATAATGATAAAGAAGCATTTGAAGACAACCTTCCAGGAAAGAGGGGTCACTGGAGCAGCCAAAGCCACAAAGAGCATAACTAAAGCCATATTAGAGTCAACAAGATATTAGAATCCACCTGGTGGAATTTTACTTTAGACAAATGCATCAACAAGGACTTCCTGAAACTCTTTCTAATCCTTGCTGTTTCACCAAAATAACATAAAAGCCAGGCAATGGTGGCATACACCTTTAATCCCAGCACTTGGGAGGCAGAGGCAGGAGGATCTCTGTGAGTTCCAGGCCAGCCTGGTCTACAAAATAAGTTCCAGGACAGCTAGGACTGCTATACAGAGAAACCTGTTGAAGAAGAAGAAGAAGAAGAAGAAGAAGAAGAAGAAGAAGGAGGAGGAGGAGGAGGAGGAGGAGGAGGAGGAGGAGGAGGAGGAGGAGGAGGAGGAGGAGGAGGAGAAGAAGAAGAAGAAGAAGAAGAAGAAGAAGAAGAAGAAGAAGAAGAAGAAGAAGAAGAAGAAGAAGAAGAAGAAGAAGAAGAAGAAATAGAATGCCAGTAGCTCCTCTGTCTGGGACTTCATGTGTGTTGGTTCAGATGTTCTTTGAGAGTTTGTAGTCAAGAATCCCACTGTGAACATACAAGAGCTTCTACAAAAGACTGCATCCAATGGGATGCCAGCATTGGAAGACACTCTGTGATGAAAATATTTACGTGTTCCCAATTTCCACTACACTGGACAGAAAAACATTTAGCTTCAGTCAGTGAGAACATTCTAGCTTTTCTCTTCACAACCTACGCAGCTCTCCTCAGTCCAGCTATGGAGCAAAGTTAGACCCTGGACATAGCAATTCGTCACCTTCTCTCGCTGCCACGGCCCTTCCGCTAGCCAGAGGGAGAGCCAGTTACAGTTTAACACTTGCAATCCCTCTGCACCCTTCGACAAGATCACTCGCCCCTAAATACTAAATAAAATTGCTTATGTTTTCGTACTTACTGGAGTTATCCAAGAGTTTTACACTTGATGCCTTATCTGTTTCCCCTGTAAAGCAGACAGAAGTGAATACCATTTACTGAATGTTAATAATGAAGGGTCTGAAATACAGGGGTAAATTATAAGTGTCTTAGAGGGTCTATTTGATGTTAACTGTCACTAGTAGGGGAAGACTTTTTTGCATTCTTTTTTTTATCACCAGGGAACTCGGGATTCTCCTACATCACCTCTCTGAAACCATCACTAACTTTTGCCAACCCAACAAAGTTTTCTCCCAGAAATGTTCTTTCCAGACTATGAGGAAACATTTCCACCACCACTCCCTTTTCCCCCTTAATCCCTTCTCTACAAGTTAGGTGTGATGATATCTTTAGACCCCATTGCTACCAGAAACACAGCACCGAACCTCCAAACAACTCTATCTGATACAAGATGTTCCAGAAACTTGCCCTGAACTGATTTCTTTCAAAAATGGGTAATGTTCATCTTGTTGGAACACAGAATTTTATATTGCATTTCCTTCATGGAACTTTAAACCATTGCAAGATCCATTTTCCTTAAAAGCTCAGCTTTCTTCCCATTGGGAAGCTCAATAAAATAATGATCGCCAGCTTGTGGAGAGAGTCAGGCTGGCTTGCCGCTTTCAAGGAACGCACGGAGCTTGTGAACTCGGTATTGGAAATGTCCACGGGGTCCTTCTAGAAGAGAAGGCGTAGACAAGGTTTGAGAAAAGCTACAAAATGACCAGTCATCCTCGTTGGGTGACTTTTAGCTTTGTTAGCACATTTAAACTTATTTCCCTAGAAGACTATATAAATGTCACGTATCCCACATTTTGCTCATGTTAAAATGACATTAATCTGGAATCTAACTGCTTTTTCCTTAGCTCCAAAAAATGTCACTCGTTGGTTTTATTTTGGTTTTGCCCTTCAGCTTTTGCAATGAAAAATTTATTAGTTTTTAAAGTTAGCATCATTGTATTTTCATATATATATACATATTATATATATATTATGCTATTATTATACTTTGTACTAATCTTTCACCTCCCCCACTGCTATCCTGCTGAGACCCCAGTCCCCTCTGGTTCATTCCCTTCCCTTTTCCCAATATCCTCCCTTCTGCTCTGTTGGATTATTTTTAGCAGGCCCTATCTGTTTATCTCCTTTGTATCCCATTAAGCCTGTCTCCTCCTGCCTCTCCCCACCCCACTGGAACTTCCAATTCAAAGACCTGTGGCTATTTTTAATTCATTAAAATAACAAAAAAAAATCGGCTTTTGGTTCAATGCCACATTTTAAGTGCTAGAGGGTACTGCATTGGGCAGAGACCTTACCCACCATTGAAGAAAGTTCTGTGGGCTTAGCAGCCCTGCCAGCTGTAGAACCCATTAACAAACAGATTTACCTGTCTTTCCTACCCTATCACAAGGTCTTGCACAGTCAACTAAGAAGCACTGTTTGTGGCTCCCTCTTAGCCACAAGGTAAGAAGGCAGGGAATTGGAGGGGGGGACACTTTAAAATTGACTGGACCCCACAGGGCCACCCTAGCAGCTGTGGTTGCCTACACAAGACCTGCATTAGAACAAGCCTGTCTTTCTCTTAAAGAGCTAAGAGGACATCTAAGAATTTTGTGTAGTGCGGGGTAGCTGTGTGGAAGAGGGTAGAGATCATGGGAATGGTTTCCCCTTTTTTGTCCGGTATGATTTCTTTTGAGAATTTCCAATATGAGTGCTGTATTTCCATCACTCCTGCTCCTCCCTGTTCTCCTTCCAACTCCTCCCGGAGCAGAGAAATTTGGCAGACAACATCCAATGAGAATACACTCTCCCTTTAATTACTCCACCTTGCTCCTTTCCTTACCACCACGCCTTCATCATGGCATCTCAGACAAGGTTTCTTTCTATCGCTTGTCTCTGCTGATCCCTCTCCTTGGTCCTTGCTCCGATCTAAAATTCCATTCTGCTGGTCCCTTGCCCTTTAGCCCCTGACTGTAAAACCCCATCCCAGCACAGATACATAGGCAAACATTCTCATGAGGTGATCCCAACACCATGTCAGACTACCATAGATCTGGGGAGGCTGACCATGGGGCCTTATATTCTGCAGTATATTGTTTCTACTGAAAAGACTATTTTAACAAGTAATTTAATAGCAGTTTGCCATCCAAATGTATTTTTTTTTCAAGACTTCCTTTGTGTAAGTCCACTGTACATAATACTTTAGTCCAGTCCCCTTCCACACCCCACCCCACCCCTGCCCCCACCTCTGGCTATCACAATCACACCTTGTCTATAATGATCCCTGAGCCTTGCGGAGGGGGTGTAATTTAGATGCCCCATCTGTGGCTGCGCACTACAGAGATAATTATTCTCTATCATGGGTAAAGATGTGAACTTGGAGGGCAGTGTGATGCTGTGTGGATTTGGTAGGATAATAGTGATGGGCTCACCGCTGGAGCCTACGAACTCCCAACAGTGAGTTCTTGACCAGATTTACAGTATCAGACATGAGTTTCTTCTGAAAGTAATAAACAATAAATAATAATAATAATAAATACAATATTTTTATTTAAAGAGAAAGAAGTCTTACTTTGACCTCTACACTCATTTGTCTGGCCCCTTTCCCCCTACAGTGTTTACTAGCTGGCCCTTGACCTCCTGTCCCCAGCCACACTGGCCCTCACTCTAGCATTCCCAGGGCCTGTCTTACCTCTACAGTTAAAACATACTCCTCAACCCAGAAGTTTCCCCATTTCCTTCTTGAGTGAACTAACTCCTGGCTCAACCTGCACATTTCTAACTTCCTCATGAAAACCCACCTTGAAGCTGGAGTTGTTTCATCTCTTGACTGTGTTCATAGTACAGGTACTATTCCCTCGCTGCCTTTGCCAAAGCTGTGCTCTTACATTTGTCCATGGAATTATTTGTCTAAATACTTCTTTTTCTTCTAAAAACTAGACTTTCAGCACCCAGGACTTTATTCTAGATCGACCTAGAACTCACCTCTGGGTTCTATTAGCTTTGTCTGCTCAATGGCACTTAACAGGTATTTGCTACGGCTACATGAGTGAGTAAATGGATGGGTGGGTAAATGGATGGAAGGAGAACGAATGAACAAACGAATGAATGAATGAATGAATGAATGAACAAATGAATGGATGAGGTGTGATGAGGAGAGGGAGTTCTCAGACTGTAGCTGAGAGGGGTTTAAAAGTCGCCCCCCCCCCCACCCTGCCCTTCAGTGTGGAGGGAAGTTCAAAGGAAGGTATTATTTGTGTGTGCCCAGTGCAGTTCACAAATAGAGGCTGAACCACAGTCAGGGGTCGCCTGCATTCATTTGAAAGTTAAAATGTTTATGCAGCTCAGCGTGTTTTTCCATTCTTTCCCTTCCAGCCCTCCTCCCCCTCTTTCGTAGGTGATTTATTCTGAGAGCTTTGGGCTGAATTTTTTTTTTTTTTTTTAGTGCAGTTGAGAAGACAGGAGGTTCTGTCCTGCAGAACACACACTTCCTCTCTCTGAAGGAGAAAAATACTAAAGAAACTAAACAGTTCACAGAGCGCTGGATTTAGAAATGTCAGGGAGAGGAACAAAAGAATCAAATCAGAAAGTAGCAGTCTTGCGACTAAACGGCAACAGATGGAGAAATCAATGCGCCTAATTGTGAAGTTTGTGGAGCCTTCAGGAGGGCTTGCAATGAGGAACACTTGTCTTCCTAAACCGCTTGCTCTACCAGGGCTAGCCTCCTACGTCGGATTAGGATTTTGTGCTCCTGACCCTAAGGAGTTAACACGCGATGTCTCGACCTTTTCAGTGCTCACTTTATCATGCCCTGCTAAAGGCAAAAAAAAAAAAAAAAAAAAAAAAAAAAAAAGTAATTGTAAGGAGGGCGGGGCCAGGAGGCTTCATTTTTGTACTTGCTCCAACCCCAGCTTCTAAAAATACAAAATACTAGAATTTCTATAGCAGGTGATTTTTTAAAAAGAAAACTTAAAGAGAGGCTGATTGTTTAAAATCTAAATGTAGCCCGTCGAAAGGACAGAAATAAAGAGGCCTCTCTCCAAATGACCCAGCTTAACTCAAAGCAGGCACGCGGGACCCTGGAAGGACTCTGGTCGTTGCATGTTCCCTCTAGATTTCAAGAGAAGGCTTTCTTCCACGGCGTAATGGATGTGAGTGTGATCTTGGCAAGCCTCTGTCTACCCGCGGTGTTAATTTTAGCCTGATCTTCAAGTGGAGCACATGGAGGAACTTCCATTAGTCACCATCGCTTGCTGGAAGTCTAAGATAGCCTTTCAGTCTCTGAGAAAGTCCTCCCTGTTTAGTGAGAGTCGCCCATCCCGGGCTGGAGTCAGGCTGGTGGC